CTGCCTTTTCCAAGCTAGCTTTGTGTTTGGAAGATTGTGAAAATTTTACTTTTGACGACATTAAGAATACAATTATACGGCATCTTCTAAACTCAAAGAGCGATTCTCTGATTACTGTCCAGCTCTTGATTCACATACTGTCAGTTGGATTCTAGATCCTTTTAAATGTGAAATTGCTGATGTACCAGAAAAGCCTCAAGAGTTGGCAGAGGCTTCGATCCAATAACGAAGCAAGTCTTGAATTTGAAAGTAAAGCAGATCTGTCATATTTTTGGATGTCAAGAGCTGCAAAAGCTTTCAGAATTGCACACAATCAAACAGTTGCTACGTTTTGCAACAGTCTACCTTTGCGAACAAGGATTTTCCACTCTATTGAACATAAAGACAGAGCAAAGAAATCGATTGGACCCCAAAGACAGTATTCAAATTGCTCTGACATCAAAATGCGCCCAGTTGTGTTGTTTGTTGTATCAAAAAAGAGAAACATCATTTCTCCAAAAAATGAAGTGAAAGTTTTAAAAGAAATCCCTTTGTTTCATGATGAGGATATTAATTTATTTTATCGCATTTATTTGATACTTTTTATATTTATAATTTTATTCTCCGTATAAATAGATTCAATAATCCTTTTGAATTTAAATAATCTATGATTTTCTTCCTTTCAAATCAAGGGGATAACGTAGGCGTAAATAAATATATTTCGGGGTGATAGGTAAAAGTATTCCCCGATCCCTGAGTTATAAGCTCCACAAATGTCACAAAAACTGCTTTCACTAAATTCTAATTTTTCTGTTTTTCTAGAAGGTTGCGTCGTTTCTGTCAGATGGCTTGGTTCCCACTGAAGAAAGTCGGTCTTCTTTCGTGTCTGGCGGTCGCGATTACAATCGCACTACATTTTCCGAAGTGAAAACCGCTGCTCATGATTACCCGTTGTTTGTGTCGTGTGATGATATATTGATCGACATGATCCGCTGTGGTTTGATGGCGTTACAGCTTCTGCCGGATAATGCCGTGACAGGTATGCTTTGTTTTGTCTTCTGGGACGTTTTTATGATCGACCGTGCTTCTTGGAGGGATGATTCTGTTTACCGACGGAGTGGTTGGCGTAACAAACGCGGCTGTCATGCAGACGTTGCTGCAACAGCTGCGCAAGTGGGCAGTCGCTTGTAGCTTTGTGCAGGTAGGGTTGTGTTTGTTCATTGGTATGAGCCTTGTTCTGTACCGTTACCAATCATGGGTTAAAAAGCGGAGATAGTTCAGTGTCCTACTATTTTGCAATGAACTAGGTTTGGTTTAGATCAGTACTGCCGTAGAGCATGACTCTACATGCAGGTCTTCCACAGGTTGAAACAACGATGACCGCTGACCATCCCCTGCGTTTATGGTCAAGGTGGCTGTTTAATCAGTCTATAGCTCCATGGTGGGTGAATTTCGGTCGTGAAGCACTTCTCGGTATTACTTAGAACAATGTAGGTGTTTGTGGCACTAACGGAATTGTAGCATAAGCGAAAAGCTGTATTACTTGTGCCATAAAACGTCTTTCTGATCTGAAAGCATTATAAAAAATGTTCGTTGTGTTTTACAACGAACTGGTTTGCTTACATCAGTGTTGCCGTAGCCAACGACTGTTTCAAGTAATTATACCGGCGGTGATAACCACGGATGATTTAAGCAGACTATGGCTTCATAGCATTTGAATGCCTGCTATGTATAGATAATTGACTGAGACATCTGCTCCTTTCATTTGCCTAAGTTACAGTTTAAAGCATTATGGTTTAAATACAGTCTATGAAAACCTTTAATGCATGTTAATGTTTTATCATCCATGCGTCCGTGTGTTATTTATTAGTTTTAGATTGACACTAACTCCGATAAACACGGTGGAGCCTTTGGAAAAGTACCGAACCTGGAACTGATGCAGTTCATAGCTCAAGCTACATCCGGCACTTTTATTGACCAGCATCCTCGCATACAGGTAGAGATCTGCTGACGAAGCTGTAATTTATTTTCTGAACAAACTAGTTAACATGTTTTTTATAGGAAGGCGGCAGCATCGACGCGATGAACTTTTATCATCAGGCGATCTTCTTATATGACTTCCGGTTTAAAATGAAGGAGCTACACAGAATAAGCGTTTCTGAAGTCCCCAGCGGCCTCGCGGAGTAAAATTGACGCATACACCTTAAATTTTGCGCACGGGAGTGATTGATATCCAGTTGGAGAGACCCCAAGCATAACAGAGTGAACAATTAAAGCTGGGATTCTTACCTGGTTGATGCTTCAACCATCATGCACAATAGAATTTGACAAATTACGGCGGAAAGTTGAGAAGAGAGGCTATAACCATGACAACGTGAAAATTCAGTTCTGCAAGGATCATCGCACTGAGAGACGGTCCATAACATAGTCAGGGGTATATTCTAAAAGATTCTCGAGCAAATGTTTGTATTCACCAGAAATTTTAGAGTTTTTCCATAATGTACGAGTCTTTCAGTGACGAACATAGATGCAGTAGCTCAACGCTGGAAGCAAAGAAGCATTGTACTTCAAGGGCAAGCCTGGGTGATGAGTGATATCACTTGAATACTGTTTTCATGTCTGTTAATCTGATTTTGCGGACGGTCAGTTTCACACTGGATGAAAAAATTAACACCTTGCAATGCAGTTGGCGTTTATCAGATTGACCGAAAATCAGGACTACAGAGAGTTTAATCGACCGTAAGCTACTGGCCTTAAAACAGTTTCCAATTCCGAAAATAAAAACGACTAAATCAGGGTTAATTATCATTTTAGTTTGTAGCATTAACGTAGTATTGTGTTTTAATCCTTTACTCTAGGACTGCTCTGCTCAGGCACACATATGGAAGTCGAGTTTTGAAAACCACCCTGTTTTCCGTGGTCTCGCTGCGTTTTAGCGAAGGTTATATGATAAAGTCCGTTGCAATAAGTATACAAACATCACAAGCGAAGACATACACTATATTATGACTGTTCTTTCAGACGATGAGCAGATACGGGTGGATTTGATTCTTCCATGGAAAGACATGGTCAGCTTTGAATATGCTGTAGTCGCGCGATGGCCGTTATCGAAAGAAGAGTAAGAAATTTACTTCTCTGCATATCCTATTGATGTCACTTGAATCAGATCGCTAAACGAGTGTACTTAGTAGCATACATCTGATAGCAGTTATGGTTACAAGAAGTCGAATATATGTATATATCG